TGTTCTATAAAATCTCTCATCTCTTTCCCTCAATCTCTCTATACATCCGTTTATCTTTCTATCTATCTATCTATCTATGTTTCCCCCTTTCCCCCTTTCTCTCTTTCTCTCTCTTCTCCTCCATCAGTCCGTTATGTGCGTCTCCTTGTTTCCCCTCTGATCTATGAAACGGCTTCTACCCCTCGTGTCTCAGCGGACTGAACAGGCTTGAAGTATTGTCAATTTCAACCTGCCACTATTGTATCGAATGTTATTGTCGCGACGAGTTAGCATAAAGCGCAAATAACGTTCTTTCGGATCGTCAGTGCTGGTCACAACTAGGCCTTTCACAACTCCGTTTTAGCTCGGAATCTCTTTTCATTTTTAGGCACAGTGTGTGATTGAAATTTGCTCTTTTTGTTCCTATCCGTGTTATTGTTGCCTCGGTTTTAACATGTGTCAACGCTTTTGTTCAGTGGCTTTGCGGGAGGGAAAAAGTGAAATGCCTGATAGAATTACTAGAATGGATCAAGCACAGAACAGTTCAGAATAATATGGATGTAGGAAAAGCCCATGAAATGAAGTCTGTACAGTTTGTTCAGGAAAAGACTTTTTTTTTTTTTTTTTAACCATCTATTTCAGTCTTTGTCAATCCCTCTGTTGATTGAACAAGCATGAACATCTCTCCGGTACTTTGGAACTGCAACGATGATTAAACCATTCTAAAAGGTTAATTTTAATACAATTTCAGTTTGTATTTACTATAGTCTCCCCCTTTCCCTTTCCTTCTTTTTTTGTTGTTCTTTTGTTCATTCCAGAGAAGCAACATCTAGGAACTGTTCTATCGCTAATGCAATCATGTTGGTTTCGTGTTTGTTTATGCAGCCTTATTTACTTTGACTTTTGTACTGATAAATAGAATTAGTTTATTTTTACAGGCTGTTTATCCTCTCCCCCTATTTCCGATATTTCTTAATTGACTATGTTAATTAATTCTTTTGTGATCTTATGCCTTCTTTACTCTTCCATTTTCTTTGCTCTCTTTCCGTTCGTCCCTTCTCTTGCAACAGGAACAACGAAGGGAAGAACAAGAAAGCACACGAATATGCCGAAGGCCTTTTCGCTATTGCTTCGTCAGGGCAGACCGAAAAAGCCTTCTATTCGTGTGTTGTCTTGTTCTTCCCTTCGTTGTTCCTGTTGCAATTTGTTCGACAGGAATTTCACACGTCCCTTCTCTTGTTCTTGTGTTCTTCCTTATTGAAGATATGAATGCGAATGAATAAAATGCCAAAGCAAGATAAATTTGTAAACATTGAATAATCTTTCTTACGTAACAGATGCTGAAGGGTTTATGATCCATTTTGAACGTAATAATCTTTTTTCGTTTACAGATGCTGAATCTTGATCCATTTTGAATCTTTCATGTTTATTCATACTTTTTTTTATTATTCCTCTATCTCCCTATCTCGGTTTGTTTTTCTCCTTCCGTTATTCCCTCTCGCCTCCTCTCCTATTGCGCTCTCTGTCCCCACTCCCATTGTCTCTTCGCTTCTTCTTAGTTTTCTCCTCCTCCTCTCTCTCTCTCCCTCTCCCATTCTTTCCTTTTATTCTCGTTTTGCATCACATTTTTTTTTTTTTTTTTTCGTCTGTTCTCTTCACTTCTTCCTATCTCGCCTTCTTCTATCCTCTCGTCCTCTCACTCTTCCTTTTTTCTCCTCCTCTCTCTCTCTCTCTTACTCCCTCCCTCCCTCCTCCTTTTCATTTCTCCTCTCCTCTCCTTTCCTTCCTCTCTCTCTCACTCCCTTCCTCCCTCTGCCTTTTTTTTCCTCCTCCCTCTCCCTTCCTCTTTCTCCCCTATTCATCTTCTCCCCCTCTCTCTCACTCCCTTCCTCCCTCTCCCCTCCCTCTCCCTCCCCTCCCTCTTTCTCCCTTATTCATCTTCTCCCTCCTTCTCACTCCCCTCCTCTCCTCCCTCTCCCTTTTTCTTTTCCATTCCGCCCCTATGGTTTCCTCGCATTTCCCCCCTCTCCCCCCCTTGTCCAGCGGCATGTCACCTCTCCACGTCTATCCCTCTCACTCCTATTTCTTCCCTGTACCCTTGTTATTACCCAGTTGACACTCCCCCATCCCCCTCCCCATACCCCTTACCCCCACCCCACCCCCTCACATCGTTCATAGTTATTGCTATGCTCCCCTCCTATCTCCCTCCCTCCCTCCCTCTCCCTCCCTCCCTCCCTTTCCCTTTCCCCTCTCCTCCCTCCCTCCCCCTCTCCCTCCCTCCCTCCCTTTCCCCTCTCCTCCCTCCCTCCCTCCCTTTCCCCCTCTCCCTCCCTCCCTCCCTCCTTCCCCCTCCCTCCCTCCCTCCCCCCTCTCCCTCCCTCCTTTCCCCCTCTCCCTTCCCCTTCCCTCTCTATCAAACCCGTCAATCTATCTGGGGCGAGTAAGCCTGATGGAGGGTTGGGGGCCGGGGGGAGGGGGTGGGGGCCAGGGGGAGGGGGAGGGGGGTTAAGGGGGGATGAAG